TCGGCTCTGAGATCAGGACATGGAACCCTTGCAGGGGTTGAAGCTGAAGGCGTGTGTGGGAGGCTGGGCAGGGCACAGGGGAGCAAGAGGCCTCCATGGGAGGGAGGGGGCGGAGGGTCCCGGCTTTGTAGTTGTCTGGTCGGCTCTGATTCTGCACCTGTGGGATCCTATCTCCACTGAACCAGCAGAAAGCTGGAAGTAGAGCTGTGGCTCAAATAGTGAGACCACCAGCTGGGCACAAAACCTAAGAGACACCCACCGCCCAGGCCCTCAGTTCACACCCCAGTACTGGCGCATGCAGACGCGTGTGCACGCACGCACACAGACACGCACATGCACGTGCGCGCGCGCGCACACACACACACACACACACAAGTAACCCACAGGCAGTCCAAGCCCACAGTCTGACCAGGATCTAAGACCTCAGAGGTCAGCTTGGTCCTTGCTAAGCTCTGTCACAGATGTCAAGCAGCGAGCAGAACACAGCAGGGAGGCTCGGAGCTGGTGCCTCCAGGGTGGACAGGGCCCTTCGTCCACGAGACGATTCCTGAGAGGGAGGCTGACAAGCCAGGCGGCTGGGGAGTTGCTCGCACACCTGCTGGCTCAGCCACAAGACGGACACATAGCGGCGCTCCCCCCCCCCCCCCCCCCCAGCGAGCGAGTGAGCCCAGCCAAGGGCTGGCCCCAGTCCGGATTACCAGGCGAGCTCAGGACCACCCTCCCTGCCTGACCTTGGGGACAGGTCCCGGCCTGTGCTGCTGTTTAATCAGCCCCAGAACCAGGACTCGGTTTCCCCAATGGCAGAACCGGAGACAGCAGCAGTTTTTGCCTCGAAGCGTGGCTACCAGAATTCGACCCCATGCTGTACGCCGGCTGACACAATCTGAAGTCTTAGAAAATGTCAGCCGGCATTAGCTCCCACCCACGGAGTATGACATGCGCATTGAGGGCATTGTACCATGCCGGGCGCTGGTGGCTCACGCCTGTCACCCCAGCTACTCAGGAGGCTGAGATCTGAGGGTCACGGTTCGAAGCCAGCCTGGACAGGAAAGTCCATGAGACTCTTATCTCCAATTAGCCATCAAAAATCGGGAAGTGGAGCTGTGGCTCAAGTGGTAGAGTGTCAGCCTTGAGTCAGCCCAGGCCCTGAGTTCACCATGACGTCTGACCCATTTCTGAGTCGGCAGTAGTTAGGCTGCGGCTGTGTGGTTGCGGGAGGAGCCGAATAAATACAATATTGCAACGTCCTGTTTATTTACAAGGCGTCTCACCCTACGATAAGACACTGAGCATGGGGGCCAGGAAGGAAACCAAGTCACAGAGAGCTGGGCACTCCCTGGGGGAGCTGGACTTCGCCCGGCACACCAGCCCTTAGCCCCCTGCAGCACGTCAGGCTCGGTAGTGTGTGTGGGGGAACACAAAGGTCCCCCCCATATTCCAATCTAGGGTCACACCAGCACGGTCCTGGCGCCCCGTGACATTCACACAACACCCCGGTCCCGATCACACGCACCGCCACCACACACAACACCACCCCCATCGGTGTCATCATCACGGGCCGGGCTCTGCCTCACCCGAGCACAGACACCGGAGCGGCAGGCCGGGCTCAGGGGGCGCTCTGTCCACCGACGCCAGCAGAGTGGCCGTGCCTAGCTGGGCGGGGCTGTCAGGCCACGGCCCTTCCAACGCTTCAGGCAATGTCTGCAGGCTCTCCAGAGCTCAGGGCTTGTCTCTGATAAGACCAAGCACTGCCAAGATGGCCAGCGGGTACAAATGTCCACGGGGCTCCCCAGGAGGAAAATCGCGTGGGCAGGGAGGGAAGGAGGAGGGGCCATGCGGAAGGGAAGTCCCTCCTTAATCCCACTTGCAGCTGTGGAGTGGGGCCTGTCCAAGGTCACAGCCAAGCTGTGCGGGCGAGTCGGAGCCGGCCTCCGTTGCCGAGAACCGTGTGCGGTCGTCGTGAACGAAATTCCGCACGACTGCGGGGGGTTTCTGCTTATTTCCCTGATTCTTTCCTCTCTCAGAACCCCTAGAAGGGAAGAGGAAGGCCCGGAAATCCCACAGACCCAGCTGGAGGTCCCGCTCACACCCGCCAGCCCCTTAACACCTCGCGGCCAGAAAGAACGCGGCATGGATTAAAGATCCCACATCGCCATCACCCTGCTTCAGCCCTTTGGCACGTGGGTGGCATAAAGGTGCATCGTGTGCCTGTCAGAAACTTCTGGAACGCACGGTGAGCTGCTCACTGAACTCTGTGACGTGTCCAAGCCAAGCCATGACCGGGTCAGCTGGCACCAGGACGGACGCCCTGTAACCAGTCAGGCAAGGAGTAAAGGGGTATGTGGGGGGGGGGCAGGAACTGGGGGGAACTTCCCCCAAACCAGGCTCTGATGACAGCAGGGGGGGAGGGGGGGCTGGCGGGCTGCGTGTGGAAGTTCCCGCCACAGGGAAGGTCTGTCCTGCCCTCCACAACCCCCCTGCTCCCCACGTTTGATAGAAAGTTTCCTACGCAGCCGCTAAGTGGCCCGGAGCGGAGGTGGAGGGACAGATGTCGCTGGGTAGCTTTTCTCCGCTTTCTCTGTTTAACCTCCAGCCCTGCCCGGCCTCCACACCCGACCTCCTGCAGCTCCACCCGTGGAGCTAGGCGCTGGCGCTGCAGGGCGCTGGACCCTGCGGGACTCACGTGGACTCAACCCACGTCCAGCACCCCCCCCCTCCCCAGCCGGTGACAGCAACTTTGCCAGCGCCATTTCTCCACGGGAGTGGAAGCCACGTATCCAGGGCTCATCCACGTATTGGGGTGGGCGGAGAAACTGTGGACACCCGTCACCTGGAGCAGAGCCACGGGAGCTCGGAGCGCTCAGCTCGGACAGCCACCTGAGCTGTCATCTCCTGAAAACGCTGTCCCCCCCCCTGCACCCCCCCTCCAGGGCCCCCGCAGCCACACGCCCGCCCCTCCGGCGCCCTCCTACTGGAGACCTGACCGGGCTGTGCCCGCCTTCCCAGTAACCTGTCTGCCTTCCAAAGGGTAGCGTTTGTCTGGGACCCAGGCCTTGGGGAAGCGGCCAGCTTGGGCATGGGCTCCTTCCTGCCCTTGTTCCTGCCCGTCCTTGCCGGGATGGGGGGCTTTCTCTGGTGACACGGAGAGGACTTCAGCCCCTCTGAGTCTGGCGGGCACCTCCTTGGCAAGCGCCCTCCCCAGAGGGCTGACGGGCAGAGCACCCGGGGAGCCTCAGCGGGCCGCGGCTCCTGGTCACGTTCTAGACATCCCTGGGCCGCAGCGCTTTCTCCCTGTCTGGGCTACGGCTCCCCCCCCCCCCCCCCACTTTATTTCTTCCTGGTACTGAACGCAAGGCCTGGGCATTGTCCCTTAGCTCTTTCACCCAAAGCTGGTGCTCTACTGTTTGAACCACAGCGGCATTTTTCTGGCTTTCTGGGGGTTAATTGGAGATGAGGCTCCCACAAACCTCCATCCTCGGATCCCAGCCTCGTGAGTAACTAGGATTACAGTCACAGGCCACCAGTGCCCGGCTTCGTCTTACATCATCGTCCTTATTACTATTATTATTATTTTGGAGGAACTAGGGTTGAATTCCGGGCCTCTCACGTGCTTAGGTGGGCGCTCTGCTACTTAAGCCACGCCTCCATCTTAAAATCAACCCTGGAAAAGAACCAGGACAGCCCTCTCACAACCGGCTGAGCCATCAGGACTCCAGGCAGGTGTTTGCGGGCCCTGAGGATGTGACTGACCACCAGGCAGAGGAACTTTGGGCAAAATCCCAACCTGGAGTGACCCCGCCCGCCCGCCCGGCCGCCCGGCCACGCCCCTCAGTCCCTCTTAACTGACCACAAAGCAATCCCGTCTGTCATCCCTGAGCCTTGGCTGCACGGCACACGGCAAAGTCTGCAGAGGACCCACACCGCTGCCTGCGGTCTCTCCAGCCAGAAAGGGGCGTGAGGAATGACCCTGCCATCATACCATCCACAAGGGCCGACATGGATGCGTGCGAGAGAGAGGGAGAGAGAGAGAGAGAGAGAGAGAGAGAGAGAGAGAGAGAGAGAGAGAGAGAGAGAGAGAGCGCAGGGGAGACCTCTTCTAGACCCCGGCTTGGCGATATCTGCTGCACAGCCTTGGGCCGGTCACAGCTCTGTCCAGGGTCAAGTGAGAAGCAGGGTCAGGTGACCGGAAAGCCCGGAACTTGCCCTCGGTGCCTTCGCCGGGCCCAGCCCTGCCCAGGCCCTGGACCTTTAGTGCTCTGTCTGTGGCTTCCTTGTTCCATGCAGGGCAAACGCGAGGCCCAGAGACCCCGGCAAGGCCGCGGGCCTGGGTCGCCTCGCTGGAGCTGGGGCTGCACCGCAGCAGTGAAGCCTCTGCCTGGCGTGAGATGCCTGCTTCCCCCACACGGACTCTTCTGACACTCAGACCACCAGGCAGACGAGGCGGCCCGTCCGAGGACTGAGAGCAAGCCCCGGGACAGAGCCCTCAGCGGGAAGTTGGGGGGAGCCCCTGAGGACCTGGAGGTTCTCTTCTTGGGGAATGCGCCCCGCACTGTGAACACCTGGCGCCCGCCAGAGGCCGCAGCGCGGCTGGACTTCCCGCTCCGATGACCTCTCCACCACGGAGCTCGCAGAAGCCGGCCCCGAATCCCGAGAGACGCCGCCCTGGAGTGCGTGGGGCGTGGGGACCCCAGGCCTGAGTATTCAAGGCTGAGGGTTTCCCCATCCAGACCCATAGATGCACCAGGGCGCACAGGTGAACACCAACGGGGCACAGGCAGGAACCGGGCTTCCAGAAACTTCTCTTTACAGCCTCATCCGTCCCGGCCATCCTCCCTCCCCGGGGGAACAATGGTGCATTTGTTCGGCGTGGCGTGGAATGGACACGCAGGCCGGGCAGGCTCTGAGCGTACCAGCACCGGCTGTGGGGTGGCAGAGGTGTGGGCCGGGTCCGAGGGGCCCCTGCGGCCCCCGCTCCCCCCGACAGCCCGCCCCTCCCCACCCCGGCCCGCCCGGGCAGCGCTGTATCCTTTGGCCCAGTGGGCAGGGCCCGAGCTGGAACCCTCTCCGGTTGTTGGGACGACGGTGCCCTGGAATTTCAGCCTCCCTGGGTGAGCAGGGCAGAGCTGGCAAGGCTGGCGGCCTGGCTGGTGAAAGGGATGTGAAAGCTGGGTCCCCCCCTCCCCGCCCCCAGCAGCCCCAGCCGGCCCGGGACGGCTGGGCTCGGTGGGGACATTCTCCCGGGTTGCTAACCGGAGGCTTTGTCCCCGTCCCCCCCAAAGGGGCTCAGCTGTGGCTGAAGGACCACCTGACCTACTCAGGACAGGGCTGGGGCCTGTATGAGCCGCAGAAGGAAAACCCCTCTCCAAGAGAATTTATCTCTCTATCCCCCCCCTCCCCCCCCCCCCCCCCCCCGCCCAAAAGAGGCTCCATGTTTTGCTCCAGCCTCTCTGTCTCAGATCACCCTGTCCTCCCTCCCCTCCTGTCCCCGCCTGGAATCTGGCCGGGAAGCCGGTGGCGTGAAGGAGAAAGGCTCTACAGCAAGTCCCCCAGAGATCACACACAATCCACCCTCACAGGCCAGCCGCAATTCAGAGCTCAGAGAGGTCAAGTAAGTTGCCCGAGGCCACACAGGCCGGACCAAAAGCGCCATCCCTAACAGGGAAAATTCCACCGATGCACAGGTAGGTGTAGGGAGAGGCAGAGCTCTACCCCAAATCCTCCACGGAAGCCCAGCACAGGGGCTGCGCACCAGGCCAGCACTGAAGAATGACCAAAGACGCACAAAGGCAAAGCCTCGGGCTTGGAAGGATGGAGCACCGATGGCTCCAGGAAGGCCCAGTGTGCTTCTGACCCCCTCCCCCACACAGGCCGAGCCTGCCTGACCCCGGGCAGTCTCCGGCTGTAACAGAAGGACGTCCAGTAATTTTCAGGGCTCCTTCTTATGTAGAGTGCTAGGTATTACTTATTTCCCATCTGTCAATGTGGCAGGAAAGGGGTTCTTGTTGTTCCGTTTCGTGGTACCGGACTTGAACTCGGGGCCTGGGGTGCTTTTCCCTTAGCTTAGAACTCAAGCAATCCAACACTGAAATGCTGCTCCAGAGGGGACTGTCCCAGAAGAAAGGCACTCGTGACCTGACTGAGGGAGCAGTAACCCTCGGCACAGCACCTCAGTAATAGCAACACCTTTCTACGTTTCAGAAGTTTCCTTGCAAGTGCAGGAATGCTGAACACAGAGCAGGCACCGGGGACAAGGTGCGGATGGACGGACAGATGGACAGACAGACAGACAGATGAATGAATGGACTGATGGATAAGTGGACAGATGCACGGCTGGATGGACCCATGGATGGATCAATGAATGGATGGATGGATGGACACACGAACAGACGGATGGACGGATGGATACAGGCACTCTGTGACTCTCAACTCTCGTTTTCTGCTTCTTTTTTAGAAAAAGACCTGGACACACATCCCAACCTGGGCTTAAGAGTCCCCCCATCCAGACCTGGTGACAAGGTCAGTGTTCCCCAAAACCGACCTCAGCTGTCTCCCAGGACGCGCCCCCAAGGTCACAGGCTGCGGGGGGGGGGGGGGGAACTCTACACTCTGTTCCAGAGACTGGCGGCGAAGGGCCGGAGAGGGGTCTGGGGACAGCAGGCACCCCTACGCCCCAGTGCCCGGGACACTCGGGGAGGACTGAGCGCAAGCACCGCGCAGTACCCTGCTATGACCCAGATAAGGGAAGTGAGAAGCTGGGTGCCCCCCAGGCGGCCACCTGACCTGCGGGGTGGGGGTGGGGGGGGGCCAGGGGGCAGGGGTGGAGCAGAAGGCATGGGGGGGGGCTGGGGGGGAGGAGGATGGGATGGGGAGCACGGAGGGGGGGGCCTCTCACCTCCACAGCCCCCAACCGGCCGGCAGGGTCCTGGAGGGCAGGGTGGCCGCTGCCGCCCCCCGCCCCCCTTCTCTCCCCCCTGCCCCCTCCTCCCCTCCCCCTGCACCCCTCCCCCTGCACCCCTCCTCCCCTCCCCTCCTCCTCCCCTCTCCCCTTCCCCCCCTCGCCCTCCTCCCCCTCTTCCTCCCCTCCTCCCCCTCTCCTCTTCTTTTCCTCCCCCTCTTCTCTTCCTCCCCCTCCTCCCCCTCTTCCTCCCCTCCTCCTCCTTCCTCCCTCTCTTCCCTCCTCTTCCTCCCCCTCCTCCCCCCCTCTTCCTCCCCCTCCTCCCCTTCCCCTCCTCCCCTCTCCTCTTCCTCCCCCTCCTCCCCCTCTTCCCTCCTCTTCCTCCCCTTCTCCCCTCTCCCCCTCCTCCCCCCTCTTCCCTCTCCTTCCCCTCCTCCCCCTCTCCTCTTCCTCCCCCCTCTTCCCTCCTCTTCCTCCCCCCTCCAGGTGTGGCCGGCCCCGGCTCCCCCCCCCCCCCGCCCCTCCCCTCCCGCCCTCCCTCCCTCCCGGGGGCGGGGCCGGGCGCAGGTGCGCGTGCGCGGCGCGGCCTACCTGTCCCGCGGGTCCACCCAGCTGGTGGCGCGGCGCGCGTGGTCGATGAAGTAGGCCCGGCCCTCGGGGTCGCGCGCCCGCTCCCAGCCCGCGGGCAGCGGCAGCGCCGGCCGGGGCATCGTCCCCGCGCCCCGCGCTCCCCATGCGGCCGGGCGCGCGCGGGGCGGCGGCGCGGGGCGCGTGCGGGGCGCGGCGGGCCGGGCGCGGGCCGGAGCCGGAGCCGGAGCCGGAGCCGGAGCCGGAGCCGGAGCCGGAGCCGCCGCCGCCGCCGCCGCCGCGTCCGCCCCGCCCCGCGCGCGCCCCGCCCCGCCCCGCCGCCTGCGCCAGGTGCGGCCGCGCGCAGGTGCCCGCGCCGGGGACGGGGGCGGGCGGGGCCCTCGGGAGGCCGAGCCCGGACCCGACCCCTGGCCCCCGACCCCGACCCCGATCCCTGACCCCGACCCTGACCCCGATCCCCGCGCCCGGACCCGACCCTCGACCCCGACCCCGACCCCCGACCCTGCGCCCAGACCCGGACCCTGACACCGACTCCGACCCCCGACCCCCGATCCCCGATCCCCGCGCCCAGACCCGGACCCCGACACCGACCCCGATCCCGGCGCCCGGACCCGACCCCCGACCCCGACCCCGACCCCCGACCCTGACCCCGACCCTGACCCCGACCCCGACCCCGACCCCCGACCCTGCGCCCAGACCCGGACCCTGACACCGACTCCGACCCCCGACCCCCGATCCCCGATCCCCGCGCCCAGACCCGGACCCCGACACCGACCCCGATCCCGGCGCCCGGACCCGACCCCCGACCCCGACCCCGACCCCCGACCCTGACCCCGACCCTGACCCCGACCCCAACCCCGACCCCGACTCCCGCGCCCGGACCCGGACCCTGACACCGACTCCGACCCCCGACCCCCCGATCCCCGATCCCCGCGCCCGGACCCCGACCCTGACCCCCGATCCCCGCGCCGGACCCGGTGCCGCGGCCGGCCGGGCCCCGCCCGCCTCGCAGCGGCTCCTGAGGCCGCGACCCGAGGATCGGGGTTCGAAGCCGGCCCCGCCTCTCCAGGAGCCGCCAAGCCCGGCCGGGCCGCGGCCGAGCGATAGAGCGCCGGGTCAGGACAGCAGCCGGCCGGAGGCTAAGCCGGGCCGGCACCAACTCCACCAGCAAACCGGGAACCAGACCCAGAACGAAGGCACGGGCGGGCCGAGGCCGGGCCGGAGCCTCCACCAAGGGACTGGCCGAGGCCAGGCCGGAGCCTCCACCAAGGGACGGGCCGAGGCCGGGCCGGAGCCTCCACCAAGGGACGGGCGGGCCGAGGCCGGAGCCTCCACCAAGGGACGGGCCGAGGCCGGGCCGGAGCCTCCACCAAGGGACGGGCCGAGGCCGGAGCCTCCACCAAGGGACGGGCCGAGGCCGGGCCGGAGCCTCCACCAAGGGACGGGCCGAGGCCGGGCCGGAGCCTCCACCAAGGGACGGGCCGAGGCCGGGCCGGAGCCTCCACCAAGGGACGGGCCGAGGCCGGGCCGGAGCCTCCACCAAGGGACGGGCCGAGGCCGGGCCGGAGCCTCCACCAAGGGACGGGCTGAGGCCGGGCGGGAGCCTCCACCAAGGGACGGGCGGGCCGAGGCCGGAGCCTCCACCAAGGGACGGGCGGGCCGAGGCCGGAGCCTCCACCAAGGGACGGGCGGGCGGAGGCCGGGCCGGAGCCTCCCAGAGGGGCCAGCGGCCCAGCGCCCCGTGGGCCTTGGTGAGGGAGGGGCCCTGGCCTGGGCCTCAGCGTCCCCCCTCCACCCAGGTGTGGACCCTGTGACCCCAGGCAGGTGACCCCACCCAGCCCTTTATAGGGGACCCCTCCCCTGCTCAACCACTGGAGCACAAACGACAAACCCCTTCCACTGCTCTTGTTCTTGTCTATCTAGGGCCTCCCCCCCCCTTGCCCCCCAAGCCCCTCCACGTTCTGATTAGTGACCCCGGGGGAAGACCGGCAGGTGTCTCCCCCAAACACACAGGACCCTGCTGGATCTAAACAAGGGGAATGGATCTGATCTGTGTGGAAGCTGAGGCTCCAGCGTGAGATGGTGCGTCTGTCAGTCTGTCTGTCTGTTCCCAGCAGGAGCCTCCCAGCGGTGAACTCACCTAGCTGCTTTGCTGCCTACTTTACTTTGGTAATGCTAGATTTCCTCCAGCCCTGGGATTGCGATATTAGGGTGAAGATCCAGGCAGAAGACCACCTGGATGATTACTCATTAGTAGGGATTGTCTCCTGATGTCTGCGAGGTCAGTTCCTGGGGCTCATGGTCACATTCAACGGTGGGAGAAACACATCACAAGACAGAGAAGGTTTGGGTGAAAGAAAAAACAAAACAAAACCCTGGCCAGGTGCACGCAAGGCAGAGATGGGTTCCTGTGTGTGTGTGTGTGTGTGTGTGTGTGTGCGTGTGTGTGTGTGTGTGTGTGTGTGTGTGTGTGTGTAAGACAGGGAGACAGATGGAGTGAACTTGGGGCCCCAGTGCTGTCCCTTAGCTTCTTTTGCTCAAGCTGAGCTCTTATGTCACACCTCTACTTCTGTTTGCTTGTTTGCTGTTTTGTTGAGTCTCACCACGACATCCATCCATCCCCAGATCTCAGCCTTCTAAGTAGCCAGAATTACAGGCGTGAGCCACCAGAGAGATCCCCCCGCCCCCCCCCCCCCCCCGCCCCACACCATGGGTTCCCAGGCAGAAGAACCAGGGCCAAGTGGGAAAGGCTGAAGGTCACTCAGGAGAGGAGGGGTGTGGGAGAGTTCCCAGTCTGGATTCTTGCTGTGGGGAGACACTGCCAGTCCTCACCGGTTTGATCACTTGATTCTCAGCTTGGCCTTCTCCTCCTCCCTCCTCTCTTCCTCCCTCCTCCTCTCTTCCTCCCTCCTCCTCTCCCCCCCCCCCTCCGGCTTTGTGCCCTAACTGAGTCCAGCGACCCTGCAGCTCCCCCCGGGGCTGGTAGGACAGGTTGGGCCAGGGAGCCACTGTGTCTTTCACTGAGGGGGAAGTGAATTTGGAGGAGGAGGAGGAGGAGATGAAATCCCAATGTTTTTCCGGGGGGTGGGGGGTGGAAGAGAAGAAGGGGGGGCGAGCAGAGGCCTCTCCCATCCCGCAGCCCTCTCCCCCTGCCCCCCACCCCGTCCCGGGCAGCAGGAATGGGGGTGCAGTGCTCAGTAACCAGCAGGCCGGCTGAAGCAAGTCTCTGGGGTATTTATAGCAACCCATTGTCATGGTACCGGGCTCCAGGACACTTAGATTAAACGCAGCCCAGCTTGCTCAGAGATGCCGGGATAAAGGCCTAGCGGATGCAGCAGCAGAGGCGGGGGGGGGGGGGGCTGCACGCAGATCTGGGGGGGGGGGAGAGGAGTGGAGAAAGCCCTCAGCAGCCACCTGCGGGGCGAGCCTGGTGCCCTGTCCCGTCAGTCTGCTCGGCCTCTGGCTGTGAATGCCACACCCCGGGGCCCTGAGAGCCCCAGCTTCTGGTTGGAAGTGAAGTGCCTGTCCCCCCCAAAAAGGCCAGGTGCCTGCCAGGAGCTTGGTCCCCGGCAGGGGCCCCCATGGAGAGGTGTCTGGGTCCCGTGGCTTCGAGCTTCACCCTTGGGAGGATGCGCCCCGTGAGAAGCCCCCCCCCCCCCCCGCGTCTGCCCGGGGCCTTTGCACAAGCCCTGGTCCCGCGGAGAATTCTCACTGTCAGCTGGAGCAGCCTCGAGCGGTTCTTTTTCCACTGCTTAAGGTTGGTTTATGCTCTCTGCCCCCTCCCCCACCAGCCCACCAGCCATACCAGGTGTGGAACTCAGGGCCTCATGCAAGCCTCTATGACTTGAGCCAGGTCCGCAGCCCTCCCCTGCCCTGTGTTTGCTTGAGTCATTTGTCACCGGGTCTCGCACTTTTTGTCCAGGATGGACAGTGATCCTCTTACCTACGCCTGCTGGGATTGTAGGTGGTACCACAGGGCCGTGCCTAGCCGTGTGTGTGTGTGTGTGTGTGTGTGTGTGTGTGACTTTTCTTTTTCTTCTGATTTTCCAGATGGTCACCTCCTGGGTAGCTGGAATTACAGGTGGGAGATCCCATGCCTGGCCATACTCTCTTTCTTTCCCCCTGCAGCCTTATTTTACTTCTGTTTCTCTTTCCCTAAGAATCGGCTTCTTATCACCGCCCCCCCCCTTTTCCATCTCTCCAGGGTGTGAATGGGGACAGCAAGGAGGACCCGGAGACCAGCACCCTGCTTAGAGGACAGGGCAAAGGCCCGCCCAGCCCACCTCTTTAGCCCCTCTTCCTGCTGGGAGGGAGCAGATGGCCGTACTCCCCCAGAACAACTGGGACCCCCCACGTACCCTAGAAGCCACGCGCCTCTCTACACCGAGGGACGGCCGCTCGCAGAGCCTGAGGGCCGTTAAAGAGCGCGGTTCCCTTTCCTTCGGGTCTGAGACGGGGACCACCTCCGTACCTGACACCTTCGCCCACTGGAGGGGCTCCTCCAACAGAACCACGCCTCCAACCCAAGTTCTGCTTTCTGAGTTTGAAGGCGTTTGTGTCGAGAGTGGGTCTAGATGTAAGAAGAGGCCGGATCAGCCAGGCCGTCAGTGGCTCTTGCCTGTCACCCTAGCTGCTGAGGATCGGGGTTCAAAGCCAGCCCAGGTAGGAAAGTCTGTGAGACTCTTATCTCCAATGACCCACCAGAAAACTTGACGTGGTGCTGTGGCTCAAGTGGTAGATGGTAGAGGGCTAGCCTTGAGCTGAAGAGCTGAGGGACAGCGCCCAGGCCTAGAGTTTAAGCCCCATGACCGATAAAAGAACAACAATAAAAAAAAAAACCCAAACCACTGCATTTTGAAATTTTATTCCATTTCCGTCTCCTTGATCACAGTGGCTGATATAGACAACGCTCTCCCTAAAGCCTGACTGACTGAGCCAGGTGCCGGTGCTCAGGGACAGCACCCAGGCCCTGAGTTCAAGCCCCAGGACTCGCACAAAAAACAAAACAAGAGCGACTGATGGACAGACATAACAATCATGAATTAATGACGTGCCTTGAAACAGACACTGAGTTTCTTTTTTCTTTTTTTATCAGTCATGGGTCTTGAACTCTGGGCCTGGGCGCTGTCCCTCAGTTCTTCGGCTCAAGGCTAGCGCTCTACCACTTGAGCCACAGCGCCACTTCCAGCTTTTTCTGCTTATGTGGTGCTGAGGAATGGAACCCGGGGCCTCATGCATGCGAGGCAAGCGCTCGACCACGGAGCCACCTTCTCAGCCCCTGCCTGCCAACTTCTTTTTTTTTTTTTTTTTGGTCTGGTCGTGAGGCCTGGACTCTGGGCCGGGGCACTGTCCCTCAGCTCTTCAGCTCAAGGCTAGCGCTCTACCACTTGAGCCACAGCGCCACTTCCAGCTTTTTTCTTATGTGGTGCTGAGGAATGGAACCCAGGGCCTCAGGCATGCAAGGCAAGCGCTCTACCACGGAGCCACCTTCCCAGCTCCCTGCCTGCCAACTTCTGATTTGGGCCTGGGGCCTCGTAGCAGCCAGGGCCTGGCCTCTCCTGGGCCTCGGTGTTAGGAGCTGTGCACCCCCCCGCCCCCCCCAAATGCTCTCGCTCTTTAACGGCAAGTGCTGACGGGAAAGAGTGGGGAGCAGAGTCTGTGTCTGGACGTGCCCCCATGGACGTGGCCCCTGGACAGCGCCTTGCGCCCCACAAGCCCAGCTGCGAGTGTCTGACGTCCGGCCAGCACGCGGGCACCGCTTGAGGACCGAGGTGACCGCAGGACCCAGACTCACGGCCCAGGGGGTGAAGCGGCCTCTGGCCTGCCCGGTGACCCCAGATGGGGCATGCGCTGGGGGGCGGCTCTCCTCAGCAGCCAGGGTGGGGGTGGACCGGGCCTCCCAGGGGAGGAACTCCCCTCGCCCGGCTGCCCACTGGTCCTGGCTGGTCGCACCCCGTGCTGTGTACCCCCCCCCCCACAGCGGTCGGCCAGGTCTTCAGCTGCAGCGCCCTGGGCTCTGAGAGTTGGGGCGCAAGGTTGGAGCTCTGAGGCCCAGTCTACGTGACCGAGGGGGCCAGGCCCCTCGGCAGGGACAAGCCGGCCCTGGCATCCCAGAGACCAGCGCGGCGTTTGTTCTGCGGTTGGTGGAGACGGGCGGGGCTGCAGGTGTGCTGCGCGTGCTCGGGCGCTGGTGGGATGGGCGTGCTGGGCTCACGGGTGGGTGTCCAGGCGGAAGGCGGCTGCCACCCGGGCCCGCCCTTCAGCAGCGGCGCCAGCTGGGCACACTGGCTCCCACCTGGAGCCCCAGCCCCTCACATGGCCCCACGTGTGACCCCACGGGATAAGACCCACGCCCCCCTCCCCGTGTCTTGAGCTCCCCCGGGGTAGAACCCTGGGCTCTTGGTTTCTGGGTTCCCGGTGGCCTCCCACCCCACAGTGACCCCCCGGTTCTCCCTCTGGAGAGCGAGACATGGCCCATCCTGCACACACAGCGCACGCCCCGCGCGTCTGTTCTTTCGGTGGTTCTGGGGTGTGAACGCAGGGCCTCACGCGTGCCCGGCAGGCGCACTGCCGCTGGAGCCGCGCCACCGGCCCCTTTTTACCTTTAGTTATTTCAGAGAGAAGTTTGGCTGCTTTGGCTGAGAACGAGAGAGCTTATGTATAAAAGCCTCCCGCTTCTAGAGTGAGCCACCGCATCCCAGATTCCACGTGGACATCGGGACTCCCTACCTGGGTGTCCAGGCCGGCTTCGGCCTGTGCTACCTGATCTCGGTCTTTCACACTGCCACCGGCATTACAGATGTGTGCTACCCTACGCAGCCTTGGTCCATAGGGTTAGGCCTGAATTGTCCATCGCTGGGTGTCAAAATGCCCGTGTCCCCGAGGTCCCCAGTGGAAGCTTCTCTTCACGACCACCCTCTTCCCTCCCTTCCACGCCCAGGCTGCTGGGCTCTGGGAAATACTCCTGACTCCTGGTGCCAACCAACGCCCCTATTACGACTGGTTTCAAGCCTCCAGCTTGCGGCCCCTCCCTGATGGCAAAAGGTCAGAACCTCGCAAAGGTCCTGGGGCAGGGCCTGCTGGTCTCCCTCGGGGAGGGTCGTGGCTGCTCCCGCAGCCGGTGAAGGGCCTGAGCGGGGCTGAGATGGGGGTGGGGGTGGGCTGCGATGGTGGGCAGGGATTTTCTACCCAGGGGAAGCTTTGCAATGAACGCGGCTTCTCCCCTCCCCCGCGATGGCTGGCGTTAGGAGGTGTCTCAGGCCTCCGGAGGGGCAGGGTTCAAACACACGGTGGATTAGACGGCCATTTCTGCTCACACCTGTCCCTCCTCCCTTCTTCAGTGAGTGCAGGAAGAACCCCCCCCCCCCCCACCGTCCTTTGTTTCTGAGACAGAGTCTCCTCAGCCTCCTCCATGCCGGGATGACAGGTGAGCGCTACCACACCAGACCGCGGCATTCATATCAACTCGGCCCGGGAGCCCAAGCGGGGCGCTCCTGTACCCAGAGTCCTCGGTACCATCACACACACGCACACACACACACACATGCACACACACGGCACACACGGGCACACGCACGTGGCACACCGGGCACACAGGCCCACCTGCTCAAGCCAGGGCTTATGGGACCCTGCACGGGGGCTGTCACCCGCCTGTGTGTGTGTGTGTGTGTGTGTGTGTGAGACTCCCCCCGTCCTGGGCAGGCCCTGGGCACCACCCCACCCTGCACGCAGCCTCGGCCTCCTGGCTCGGCCCCGCTGGCCAGCCCAGTTGCGGGCCACACCGGCCCTGGCTCTCCTCAGTGCCTCTTCCTCCCGATGCCTGGGCCTCTGGTTGGACGGCGGCAGCCGCTGCGTGTGCCGGTGCTGCCATCTGGTGGCCACAGGCAACCCCCGCACCCAAGGAGGAAGGAGGAAGGGACGGCGGACAGGTGGGGCCTGTTTTGGCCCTGGCCGGCAATGCGGCGCCCTCCCCTCTACGTGCCCCCCTCCCCCCCCCCCCCCCCCCGTTTACAAGGACCCTACCCTACGCACGTACCTCTGGGTCTTGTCAGAGAATGTCCCCCTCCTTGGGCGGATCTGCGGTCACCCGATGCTGTGGGGTGGGGGGCTCCTCGCCTCTCCCCTCCTCCCCTCCCCACGTCCCCCACCCAGTGGGAACTCACCCAGGGAACTTTGCACGGATACACCAATAGCCAGCCAGCTCCCCAGCCTGCCGAGCTAGGGCTGGGCCACGGCGTCCCTCCTCCTCTCTCCTCTCCCTCTGTCTTGTCTCTCCCTCCCTCTCCGGTCCCCCCTTCCCACCTGGGTCTCCCAGGTGCGGGGATTTCAGGGTATCCCGCCATCTCTCTGTGTTCTGGCTGTGCTGGGGACGGGGCCTGGACCCCACTCCAGCCGCCCAGGGGACGGGGGCGTGAGTGGTTCTGGCCTTGCGCTTTCTCCCCTTCTCTCCGGTTTAGTTTTTGCTTGGCTCCCATGGCCCCTGCCTCCTGCCCTTCCCACCAGGGGTTCGAGACCAGCCTCCACAGCCTGACCGCCTGGGCAGCCCAGGCTGGGAGCGGGGCCTGCACCTGGCCGCTGCTTCCCGCGTCTGAAGTCAGACGGCTGCGCTGCCTCCCGTCAGCCCATTTGTGACGGGGTGGGGGAGCTGGACACCCCAAAACTTAGCCGAGGCCTTGGCACCCCAAAGGACACTACCGAACAGATGAAGGGGAGAACGGGGTCCCCCGCCCCCAGCACTGCGGCCAGCTCCAGTTCACCCAGCTGTCTGTCCACACCCCTCCAACTACGGGAAGTTCCCTCTACACCTGAGGTGCACACAGTGCTTGGGAGGCCCAAGCGGGCAAGTTTGGGGGTGCGCCGATGCGGCCTGGAGGTTTCCACCCGTGCACGGCCCAGCCCGAGGCTCCTCCCCAGCTACACCAGCCAACGCAGACTTCTGGCTGCCAGGGCCGGGCAGGTGGTGTGCTAACACTGAACCATGCCCCCACTCTGTTTTTGCTGATTATAATTAATATTATTACTGGCATCAAGGATTTGTCTGCCCGGGCTGGCTTTGAACCGCGATCCTCAGATTTCAGCCTCCTGAGTAGCTAGGGTAACAGGTGTGAGCCAGCTGCTCCTGGCTTTGCGATTGGACCTGCCCACCGTCTGCCTATGCTGAGCATCATTGGTGGGATGAGGGGTCCGTGTGTCTCTGGGCCCAGCCTCAAACTTCAATCAGGTCTCAGCCTCCCAAGTAGCCAGGGTTTACAGGCTTGAGCTCCTTTTCCCACTCAAAGCATCTCCACAGAAGCGCAGTGTCCACAGGAGTTTTAGAGACTTTATTTATGTATAAACCATTTAAACACTTTGTCATAAATTGTCTTTGCCTGTCCCTAGTCTTTGCTTAGCAGCAAATTAAAATTAATATAAAAACTCGATGAACAATTCATACATGTATATTACAAAAAAGTTCCTGTACCAAAGTTCTGATTAGACTTGTTGTGTTTTCGTGGTGTTTTTTTTTTCTTTTTTTTTTAACCTTTTAAAATTTTTTTTGTGTGTGTTTTTTTAACTTTTATTTAATGTATTTTTTTTTCTTTTCTCTCTCTCATGTGATTGTCTCAGTTTCTGGACCAAACAAACACACTAATATTGGAAGTCGGAAACAGTGGATGTGCCTCGTGGCACGCGTGGTAT